AGAATTGTATATTTGCATGGGTTATAACGTGATGAAAAAAGCCAAAACAGTAAAACTCCTCAAAAGGACCAACACATAAATCACAGCTATGTATATGTTCTGTGCACCAAACTCTGTTGTAAATTGAGCTTTTGTCTTTAGCAGTATGGCCCCCAGGTCCTTCAGTGTGCGTGTTTGTGCATGCAAGTCCCTGTCAAGGGTTTGTGATCAGTCATACCAACAGATTTTTCCGCCCTGTATAAACAACACAGTCCCACGCCAAAACAGTCACCGGAAAGGAAACTAAATCTGTTGAACTGCCTTTACAGATTTAGCCTTCAGTTTTACTTGTGCAGATCTAAAGATAAATAAACACAGTGAATAAAGCTATCATTACTGCATTTCATCAAAAAAACTATTAAAGAGCTCCAGAACCATTTAACTCACTGTAAAGTTGGAGATTTGGCAAAGTTAACAGCTTTCAAAAGGATCTTAAAGCTGAACATTGGATGGATGGATAGTAAAAAAAGAAAATCCCTGAAAAGTAAAGAATTCACTAATCGTTTTATACAGCATCTGTTTTAATTCTAGACAAAAAAATCGAACCAGTATTTAATATGTTCTATGTTCCAGATCTGACTCTATCTAAACTACTGGAAGTTTCTCAGATTGAGTCTTTACTCAGCATAAATATAAATATGCTGAAGTTTAGTATTTGTGAAGAAGGCTAAATGCAGTCTAGAGTCCGTGAAAAATATCTGAAAAGCTCAAGTATGTGCAGATTAGAAAGATTTATAAGCAGAGGCAAACTGCAGCTGGTCATCTTTAGTCTTCTATTGTATATTGATCATATCTTTACAATGATTAAACTGCAAAAATAGTTTAAAAAAACAAAAGAAAACAAGAAGTTGTCCTTCTTCACATCCAGAGTTTGTGTCATGCCGACTCCTCGTGCAGTCCAGAAAAAGTGACATAGTGCAAACGAGGTGTATCTGACAAATTACTTTTTTCATTGGTAAACACAGCACTCACTTGTCTACGTTATAGTGGGCGGTGAGTCCAAATATCCATGCAGGAAGTCTCTTAATTAGTAAGGCTTCCGAACCACACACAGGAGGTACTCTCAAAAGTTATAGGAATCATATAAACCCCATTTCATAACAGAAGTAGGTTTGTATAATAAATCTACATGACCATTTTAAATTTGTGAAACACAAATCTGATAACAGCGCAATTTCTTCATCAAAAACTACATTGTATTTTATTTGAATTTTTTTTAGGCTAATAGAAAATAATAACTGTAATAAAAACGTGAAAGATCTCAATTTCCTTTTGTGATATTAAAAGCCTGAACTTTTATTCAGCAGCTTTGACTCTAAGCCCGCTGTTCTATAAAAGCCTCTAAGACTTGCTACAGAACATTAGTGAACAAATTGTGTCACGAAGATCAAGTAGAAAGGCTAGGAATAAAAACAGTACAAAACAGTCAGCACAGCCTCTCAATGGTGGCATTATCATGCTATGGGGATCCTCTGTGGTATAATTTACATCAAACCACTGTGTGCAAAGCTGCTGGATCCACTGTTAAAGACCCCCAACTTTAATTCCACTCTGGATGGGTTTTTAGCAACCTTTCTTTTATTTGAAAACACAACTAATTTGCATTTTCTTTATTTCGGTTTTTTAAAGGTTTGCTCAAAATCTAAATCACATTTGGATAGAAAATCAGCTACTGTCTTTATTTGAAAGCATTGCTTCCATCTTTTTCATCTTTCACAATAATGTACAAGTTTTGCTGGTGAATTACTGTACAGTATTTAAAACATAGCCATAGTTGACAGAAACAGGATATAATGCAAAGAAATTTAATTTAAAAGTAAAAACCGCTGTTTATAAAATAAGATCCCATTCAAAAACCAAAAACTTAGTTTTCCAACCATCCATCCATCTTCTTCCACTTACCCCCGGTCGGGTCGCGGGGGTAGCAACTTCAGTAGGGAGGCCCAGACGTCGCTCTCCCCAGCCACTTAGGCCAGTTCCTCCGGCAGAAGGACGCTCCCAGGCCAGCCAAGAAACATAGTCCCTCCAGCGTGTCCTGGGTCTCCCCCTTGGCCTCCTCCTGATGGGACGTGCCTGGAACACCTCACCAGGGAGACGTCCAGGAGGCATCCTAATCAGATGCCCGAGACACCTCAACTGGCTCCTCTCGATTTGGAGGAGCAGCGGCTCTACACTGAGTCCTCCCCGGATGAATGAGCTCCTCTTCCTATCTCTAAGGGAGAGCCCAGACACACTACGGAGAAAACTCATTTCAGCCGCTTGTATCCAGTTAGTTTTATCCTTTTTTATTTTTTTGTGGTTGAGGATTTGAACACAGTCCTTTTAAGGAACCAATGGAAAGAAAATAATGCTTACAGACCCTTTTTGTTGCTTTTATTAAAGAACTTTAATTTTACTTGGATAAACTTATTTTCAAAATAACTGAACTGCCCTTTTTGGTAAAAGATGTTTTCTTTAGCTAATTATGATTCTGGTGACTTGACAATTAATCTTAACAGTTCTGAAATGTATCTCTAAATATGTATCATGAACATTCTGCCCCGCCATCGCTGTTTTACTTTCTGTGCTTGAACTTGTTGTTCCAATGTGACAGCTTTTCTTTGCATAAATATATTAATACACCAACTGTATGATTTATTCCCCCTTTCTTTGAGCTGCCTACTATCTAAAAACGAACAAACAAATTAAATAGAAATAAATGTAAGAACAGCGCAATAACACTGAAATTGGTAATGCAACGTATTTACATGTGAAGTAAATGTGTGAACATTCATGCACTTAAATTGGCCCGATCTATCGGTGTAATCAGAACAATGTGCTCTCCTCAGTGGTCCAGCTGCACATGTTTTGTCATGGAAATTCTCCTGATTTTATCGATTGCTTTTATCTTGAAATGGATCTTCTTTCACTAAAGGTGTGAGCCCTGTGGTTGCATAACCTAATCAGATCCGCTTGGTTTGATCTGCTCATTGCCGTCTTTGTTCTAATGGAAACACCATTTGTCCACTGGTGCTCAGACTCATGAATACACAAGCAGGACAGTGTACTCACAGGGAAAAAAAAGAAAAACACAGAAAGGTGTGGAACATGAAATGTCGTCAGATGGTAGAAGTGGGTCAGTCTTGTGGAGCTTTGGAAAGTTGCTTTTAATCTCTGGGGATTTCACTTATCAAACAGCGGTCACACAGTCTGTCCTGTCATGTTCCACCTTTCCTCTAGTGTGGCAGGAGAGCTGGGAAGGGGAGTAATTAGACTCTGGGGAACTGCATCACTTTAGAGAACAAAGAGGATATGTGTTTGTGGGTCTGCATGTGTTGAGAGAAGGTGTCCTCAGAGTTGACAGGAGGTGATGTGTGCTATCCAGTTCCAGATAATCACCTCCTGATACCTGTTTTAGCCTTGCTGTAAATGTTCCTGTTAACACCAGTAAGATCATGGGAATTTCCATACAGAAGAGGGATATTTTTTTTTTTTTTTTTTTTTACTTTACACTCCCCCTCCTAATTTGACTTTGTTTCATTATGACTTTTTCACACACAAAACAAATGGAAACTTATTTATTACACTTATGGATTTTAGCTTCTTTATATCAAGGAAGTATTACATTCTTTATTATAATATAATACAAATGCAAATATTTGCCTAATATTTTTTCCAAGCAATGCATTAATAATCTGTAAGGTTTCCATGGATTTAGAAGAAATTATTACATTGCTTCCCAAATGGCGGAGCTTGTAGCAGTAGACCAAAACACAGTTTGCTTTGCATGGGTGCAGACTTTGATTTATATATCTATTTATCTCAATGCAGCATTATTTCTGAAATAGAATTATGTCAAAAGGAAAGAATTTCACTTTAAATTCCAGTTTTTTGCATGTGCACTGCATGTATCTAGGGTAATGGCTTGCTCTCTGTTTGTTTGAATATATAACCCTCTTTGTGTACTGGTCTGTCAACAATGGAGGACCCACCTATTGTCATTTTAAATGGATTATAAATTATCCAGTAAAAATCCAGGATTTAAGCAGTTTTAATTAACTTCCTCTGTGGGGAACCTGCGCTCACAGATGCAGATCCTTTTTGCAGATTCAATCATGTACAGCTTGGTTTAATCTGCAAAAAGGACTTCTACAAACTCAATCTATTTTCAAAGTCATTATTGCCTTCCTAAATATGACCATAAATAAAGGCTTACCATGAAGCATATCAAAGATTTTCAACTCACAAGAAGATAACAAACAACAAGGTTTAAAAAAGCAAAATACATGCTTCATGAAGTGAAGTGTGCCATCTTTGGTATATCATCGTTGGATCATCAGTTTTTTAGCACTTTGAATAAAGGACCTGTAATCTGAATGTGCAGGCTTGGTGTAATCCTGATGGCAACATATCAAACCCCTCATGTTCTGGATGAGAATAGTCCTGGATGATTCTTTTTACAAATCCTGCATCCCTCAAATGATTTTACAAAGGAAAAGCAGGAAGAGGCTATAATAAGGTCTGACTGCGGTTTGCCATTAGCCATGTAGAGAAACACAGCAAACATTTAAGAAAAGATGCACAAACTATACATTTTAGTACGAACTGGAAAGACTGTGTTTTAAAAACATATTTGAGACGTAGTGATGGCAGCCTCACTTTACTTTTTCTTTTCAAGGCCTTTCTATTAATTCAGACCCAGCTTTCTTGAAGAGAAAAAAAAAACATTTGAAAACATGTTCCAACAGTATAACAAGGGGTATACATACTTTTGAAATACTGGTATAGATTTTTCTTTTATTTTTTTAAATCATATTTCTTTGCCTCAACTCAGATGAATCAGAGCTTTTGAACCCATTCAGATAATATCCTCTCACCCTTTCAGGGCTGATGATTGTCTCTTTATTCTCCATAGTAACAGTCCCATAGCAACTGGTGCCTCTTATACTCAGTAGTCCTTTGCTCTCACCTGTCCGGCATCATCTGTCTCATCACTCACAGCCTTCCTCTCCTCTTCACTGCCTCCAGTTTGCATGTGGTTGTTTACGTATGAACGTGCCTTCATGTGAGATGTGAGTAAGCCAGATCTTCTTCACTTGGGACCTTATTTTCAGTCTCCACCGGGAAGGCTGCACTACTGACACTGTGAGTTCAACTAATGCTTTTTGTTTAATTGATTTAATACATTCAAATAGATTTATGTTTAGATGTTTTAAACACGGTTTTGATTGTGACTTAAAGACTGGTGCTATTACTTTTTTGTGCCATTTCTTTTTAATTACTGAACTGAGTTATGATTATTTGCATTAAATGTATTAAGCATACCATAATATCGACTTCTTTGCAGCGGATCCTGAGAAGTGGAGCCATTGTGTTGGTTCTTTGTTTTATTTGGATTCCCAAAGCAGAACCTCTTTCGTTGTGCATCAGAGGAGACACCATGGGGTCCAGTTCCTCCTCTTTCCCTCACCGAAACATTTACCTGGATGTTGATGGGAAGGTGCAAAAGGTAAATCTATTTCCAAATATTCAAATGTGTAGTTTAAAGTATTGTTTTTGATACTCTTTTTTTTTTAAACAATAAATAGTTTTCATGTATAATCTTTCTAAATAATTGCTTAAAATGTTTCTTGTTTTGCAACAATATGAGTTAAATCAAACATGAATGAAAGTGTTAGTAGAATTAAAGAAAATACACCATCAGTCAGCTCTGTTAGAATAGATTTTTTAGAAGAATACATTCTAAGGAGACAGAAAATATTAGATATTCAATTTCAATACCTACTCTGAAATCCTTTAGAGTTGTCAAGGTTATAGATATAATTTATATTTTGTATATTTACCACAATATAATATCTCTAAAAACAGTAAGTGACAGAGCGAGAGAGAAAAAAACATTTAACAAAAAAACAAAGAATACAATCAAAAGTAAAAGTAACAAGAATACCATCAATTTTAAACAAACATGATTAGATGACAATAAACGAAAAATAAGAATTTGTTTTTATGTTTACATTAGAGGTGGCACTAGCTTACGCAGTTATTGCCCTTTACAGAGAAAGCTGTAAAATTAAAGAATTTCTTTGCAACAGTGTTAATAATATTAACATAATTTAAAAAACCATACTGTTATTTACCTATTGTCATTAAATTAGTTTCGAAGTTGTTGATAAATTACAGACTTTCTTTTGCTTCCCAATTCCATAGATTCTAAAGAATATAAAAGTGTATAAATATATCTTGAACGGGAGTTTAAAAATAATCCATAACAGACAAAAATAAAGAACAACTTCCATTAATGGGTCACCTGCTACAGATATTCCCAGGGAGGTTTCAATAACCCTAACAAGGATCTAAAATTAGAATCATGTCAATTTGTCATTTCAGTGCTGCCAACCAGGCACATTGTTTGCAACAAGCCTCTTCCTGTGTCATTTTATAAAGCCTCAGATCTCCAGGACACATTTATTAAAAAAAAAAAGTAGTGCTTTCGTTTTTAAAAGTAATGATTGTAACATATGTTTTGAAAAATAATTAGGTAAACTCCTCTCCGCCCCCACATTAACAGTAGAGTAACACCTGTGATTTAAAAGACTGCTCAAGACACAAAGTTACAACGAATGGCTTCAAACTTAGGTTTATGTATCTTAGTTCCAAATATACTGAAATAAAAACAATAAAAAAAAGTTTATCCATTGACATAAATGACTTTGTTTTTGTTTTTTAAAAGCATCTGTCTGTGACACATGTGTCTGGGGGCTCCAAGCCCATAACCCAAACCGCCATGCGTTGGCTGATGTCACTGCCCCCCCATTGAAAACTACAGTTTATGCTCTGGGTCTTTGCTGTATATCATTGTTCATTCCTTCAATTACACGACTGACAAGTACTGCCTTACTCTTGCAAACTGGAATGATTTGTTGGCATGTGGCATCTTTAAGAGCTACAGGAAGCATCAAGCTCAAGCTGTTGTTTCCCTTCAAATTGTTCTCACAAAACCTTCCTGCCTCTTACTTTGCAACATTTAATAAAGAATCAGTCCAACTCTCATTTTGCCTTCTTACATTCCCCAGCTGTATACAAAAACACTAATTATGACTTGTGTTATGAATGTATGTAACATACCTTTGTTTTAAAACAATCAATATAACTGATAAGCTATTATTTTCTGTTGCTATGAACCATTCTATGTGCCAGTGTATTTAAATTTGGATCTGACTTTGATCATTTACAACATTTCAGGTGGTATTCAGTCAGCACAGCAGTCCATGTGACATCAAGGAACTTTTATGTTCCTCATCCAACCTTCCCAGGTTTGTTATTTTATCCTACAGCACAAGAAAATGTTCATACATTTTTGAAACAGATATAGCATCAAATGTTCTCAACTGTGGATCAAAGAACATATGTCTTTTTTTTTTTTATTCTATTCTATATTATTCTTTTTGTCACACAAAGTTGGTGACATATATGGAGTTATTTGGTTTTTTTTATTAAAACTATATATTTATTCTAAATTATAAACGCTTTCACACCACTTAAACTTTTCAGACTTGTCTCTCAGCAACCATAAACTTTAGTAAAGTCATTTGGGATTTTATGGAACAAATCAACACCTTGGAATTAAATAAAGGTGGAATTTATCATTTTATAACAAACAAAAAACACATGGCTAGATTTGCGGACTTTTATCGTATTGGTTGGTTTTCACTGATACTAGCCTACTCACAGCTTGTATGTTTATGCTTTTTGCTGGTTGTTCAGTAACATTTTTTAACAAGCCTCTGATGCTTTCACAGATTAGCTGACGGTATATGGAGATTAAATAACAAAAAGGATGGGTTGTAACTATTTACTGCAGTGGCTTTTATTTAGGGGTATCACATTAGGAAACATACAAACACCCCCTTAACTATTCAGACTTTTCTTTGCAAACAAATTCACAGAGGTTTGTGGTTTTAAGAGAACAAAATGTGAAAGAAAAGAAAAAAGTCATAAATATTTGTAACTAAACTCTGCATATAATTCCACTCTAAAATCTACCACAAGTGGTCAAATTTCTCTCTAAATCTAAGTCTCTTTCAACAGGAACACAGCAATCAAGTTGATAAATCCAGAAGGGGCCATGGTCTCTATTGATGCCACAGTGCCGGCCAACTCTCCAAAGTAATATACAACAAATACTTTTGAAATATACCTGCTCTTCTCAATTTATTTTGCATTACCTGTTTTTAAAGCTACAGTGTGTAATAAGTAAAGGGATGTATCGACAGAAATTTTCTATATTATCCTTAAGTATATTAATCATTAACATCTATAAGTTGAAAGTTTCAATCCTTGTAATAATTTGTAATTACAAAGATTGAGACTCTCATACTTACATAGGAGTAGATCTCTCATTTATGGAGGCAGACATCTTTAAGCTACAGCAACACAGAACTGTCAAACTATTGACAGTAGAGATTGCCATTACACTTGAATGTGAGTTAGGCCTATATCACAGACTAATAAAACACTATCTATATAAACAAGCCTTGTCATCACTTTACAAGATAGGTGATGCAGACATTGTGGAAGCCATTTTATATCATGACAGCATCTGTGTTGTTGGACGTGGAGAAGCAGTGGTGGTAGCAGTTCATGTTGCTGCAGACTGCAGTCTGATCATTAGATGTCACAAAAAATTACAGACTGTAGCTTTAAGATAAAGTCACATTCTCAGAGGCATTTTTCAATTCTTCAGGTCATGAACTTTGACATGACAGTTCATGCAAAAAAAAGGGAAGGACCAATGTGACTAAAATACACCTGTTTGATTTCTCAACAGTTTTCTTTACAAAGTTGTCCCATTGTCCACCAGTCAGCCACCAGGTAAAGTATTTCAAATAAACTGTGTAGGAATGTTAGTGGTGCAAATGCTTATCAGATTTCCAACTATGCCAGCAGAGAGAGAGGACATGTTTCAGAGCTTGTTAACTCAGGTTGCTGAGCAGTTTACCAGGTAACTCCTTGCTCTGGTGTTGTTTCCAAAGCTTTCCCATCACCATCTATGCACATACCTCTGTATAATTTTTAAAACCTAAACATTACAGCCCACATTGTTACCCTTAGAGGTAAACTGAGTCGCTTATAAACAAAGCTGATTTCTTTTTTGCTCTAAACTGTCTGTCACAGAGCCTTTCGCATTAATGAGCTGAAGACTGAAGTCACCAACCGACTGGCAGCACTGGAGAAGAGAGTTGAAAGTGAGTTTGCAACAACAAAGAAAAAAATAGCAACCAGAAAGCTCTGACAGTAAACTCTAACTACCCAGTTTGTGTATTTCAGTGGAGGGCTTGAAAGTAGTCGAAATTGAAAAGTGCAAAAATGATTTGAGGAAACTTCGAGATGAAGTGACATCAAGAGGTGGAAGCAGGTGAGTTTTAAAATATGACATTACTAAAGGAAAAGCATGATTACTAAATCAAATGATATTTTAATTTGATCTACATCTAACCTCAGGGTAAACTGTTCATGCAAATACAGCTTCACAGATGAAGGGAAGAAGGTCACACCGAGACGAGATGTCCCCACCTACCCGAAGGTATGCCCCCACCTACCTGAAGGTATTTCCTCAATACGCAATGAGATTTTTTTGACAGTTTTCTTCATCTGCCTCATTCAGTACACACTTTCTCAGGAGACCATTGAGGCACTGAAGAAGCCAACATTTGACGTTTGGCACTGGGAACACAATGAGGTTCGTTGATCTCCATCATTACAGATTTGCATTGTGCTCCTAAAAAAAGAGGACTGATGGCACTTTTTTTTTTTTTTTACTCTGTTTCTGCCAACAGATGCTAAGTTGTCTGGAATTCATGTACCATGACTTGGGACTTGTGAAGGAATTCAACATGAATCCCATTATACTTAAACGCTGGCTGGTATTTATTGTAGAAAAATGTGACAGAGGTCAATCTGTGGTTTTTAGATAGAAAAATGTTTGGCTTGATCTTCTGTGATAAGCTAAATGTGCATTTCTTTGTATCCTAGCTGGCAATCCAGGAAAACTATCGCGATAATCCCTTCCACAACTTTCGTCATTGCTTCTGTGTTAGTCAGATGATGTATGGCATGATTCACCTCTGCAGCCTGCAGGTATGGTCCACACCTGGGCTTTGTTTGGTCCTTGCAAAAGTACTCATGAATCTATAACTCTATTTTAATTAATTTAATTTTAAAAGTCACATCTATCTTCCCTTCTGGGTTTCATAAGGATTTAATGTAACAGATAAGAACTGTATGGCTTTATAGTAGGAAACTGACACATGCTTTTCATATTTTCTTTTCGACAATAAAATCTTAAAGGATAAAGAGCATTATATGCTCCTAAATGATATCAGCTGGAACAAATGGCTTTCCAAAGCATAGAAGGAAATGGAGTCCATCTGTGTGCTATATAAACTAAGAAAAATGTAGTTGTTCTGTAAAAGCTGCAGATTTATAGAGAACATTACTAAGATAAAGTTGTGGTGAAATTTAAAGCAGGATTAGGTTGAAGTCTTATATCTTGGTCTCTGGTCATCTTAGAAAAGTAATGTCAATCAATAATCATAGTGTTAATCTGATTGGTAACAATTGCTGCTTACTGCAACGCGCAGAAGGATAACTTCCTTTATAACAAAGCCTAAAATGAAACATGGATACATTTTCCTGTTAAAAATAAAATATTTATGTGCATAAATTACAGTTTGAATTTACATTATTGAAAAGGTTTATTTAAACATCTTTATTGTGTAAGTAAAAAAATGTGGTTGTGTAATTATCACACTGTCATTACATTTTTCGTCACATGCACCCCCTAGTGATAGCTGATGAACCCTTGGAGTGCACACACCACCTTCGGACGGCTGGTTAAGGCCCTCCTTGCTATCAGGCCACCATTTTTCTCCTGTTTTCTCACTGAATCTTAAACTATTCTTTATTAGTTTCACAACTCGACTTGGAGGTGCTAACTAGCTTAGTCCAATACTTATGTTTACCACCGGCACACATGCACAATATTGTACCTTTGTTTTTACTGTAAATATACATGACCGGGTTCATTTATTAGCAGAATGAGCACAGGATGTGATCATCTTTTAGAAAAACTTAGTACACAACTGGAGTGTGATACGAGCATGTACATTTAAACAGATATCATACAGTTTTCATGAGTTAAGAAAAAACATGTCAAGAGGAGCTGCAGAGATTTGCGGCACAGATAGGAGAATCTGTTGACATTATCAACAGCAGTAGCTATGTTAACAACATGACTCATAAGCCGCTCCTCTGTTTTCAAAAATGCATACTTCTCTAGATGAGCAAAGCTTGTAAAAAGATCACAAAAAACACAAATGAAAGTCTAATTTTTTGGTATTTTTAAAACTTCAAAAATCATGCATTATTTCTCCTTTAGTTCATAATTATGCCTTGCTTTATGTTATCTGTTTATAACAACTCTAATAAAGTTTCTGTTAATTTTTTAGGAGTTAATAAATCAAAATGTCTACAGAAAGTTTGACAGAAAATCTGTGAGAATTATTTCCTTTAACAATTCAGTCAAATGCTGTCTTAAATTTGACCTTATCCTGCAGGGGAAGCTGACACTCACAGATTTGGGCATTTTAATGACAGCTGCAGTGTGTCATGACCTGGACCACCCTGGCTACAACAACACGTAAGACTCCCTCTTCTGTCTGCAGTGTTGTTGACAGATGCAGCACTTTGGATGCCCACTGACCCCCACTATGTTTTGATATACTTTGCAAAACACTGTTGTTGATGAGCTGTGAAACTAGTTCGGCCTGGATAGAATTCAGGTATGAAAACATGCTTACTAAGATAATCGCGCTGATATATTTTGGTCTTACACAGGTGAGAACCTTATCAAGATAAACTTCTTGAGAATTGACTCGCCAGCATTCTCAGACCTATTTAACTCTGACATCCATCCATCAGGTACCAAATCAATGCTCGCACAGAGCTGGCAGTGCGCTACAATGACATCTCCCCTCTGGAAAACCATCATTGCGCTGTGGCTTTTCAGATTCTGTCCCTTCCTGAGTGCAACATCTTTGCTAATGTCGATCCAGAGACATTCAGAAAGATCCGACAGGTAAGATGTGGATTATGTTGAGTTATTTTTGGGGGTGGAGTTGCAGGGGGATACATGTTTGTGCACCTCCACATAAATGTTAAAGATTTGGGATGTCCTCTCATGTTTTCAGGCCATTATCACTCTAATTCTGGCCACGGACATGGCTAAGCACGGTGAGATTCTCGAAGGCTTCAAGCAGAAACTGGACAACTTTGATTTTAACAATGAGGAGCATGTTACATGTGTATGTAACCATTTTCACTTAAAAATGACAATGTTTTAATTTTTTAAGTTAGCTTCTCTGGATTAAATTGACTTGTTCATGTAGTATACATTGCTGAAGAAATTACCTCTAGAAATATGGTAAAAGCAGATTTTATTTTTCTATTATAGGCTTCTTTGTCTTTAGCTCTTTGGGATATTGCACTGGTGTTTAAACAGGTTTGTGTTTGTTATTTTAGCTAAAGAAGGTGTTGATTAAGTGCTGCGATATCTCCAATGAGGTGAGGCCATCTGAGGTTGCTGAGCCCTGGGTGGACTGTTTGCTGGAAGAGTACTTCATGCAGGTGACTAGAATTTCATTTACAGTAACCAAAATGATCTACTCTTTCAGAAAATCATTTTTTTTTTTTTATAATGCAATGACAACTTTGGTTTTAAGAGCGACAGAGAGAAGTCTGAGGGACTTCCAGTAGCTCCCTTCATGGACAGAGACAAAGTTACCAAACCGACAGCTCAGATTGGGTTCATCAAGTTTGTCCTCATCCCTATGTTTGAGACTGTCATGAAGGTATTGGACAATAGCTTTATGGATGTTACAGTACTCTCTTTAAAAAAGTGCTTTGTAATGTAATGCCTGTATGTTTATTTTGACCAGCTATTCCCTCAGATCGAAGAAATCATGGTTCAGCCTTTGAGAGACTCTCGGGACCATTATGAGGAGCTGAAGCAGCTTGAAGACTCAATGACAGAGGTAGAAATTGTCTGTCTGTCTGTCTGTCTGTCTGTCTCTCTGTCAAGAATATCTGTGATTTGCATAAAATATTACTGCTTTGGAGGTCCTTCATTTTGTTAAATTTGTTTTAAAAAAGAAGTGACATGTAATTGCTTTTTGTAGCGAAACTGATATTTTCCAAATTTGATATGAGCAGGAGTTTCTGGAAACAATAAGTGTAACAGGAGCCTTTCACAAGGAAGTAAAAGAATTACAGCTCATAAATGTCCAACTTCTGTTCTCCAGAAAGCCAAGTTAAGCTATTCCCTACTCTTGCCAAGGAGTTAATAATCTTTTACTCTTATTGCCAAAAAACAAAGCAAGTTTTTTTTTCTTCCTCCGAGTCACAAATGCTGTCTTTAGTATTGCATTTTAAAGACAGAATTGAAAGACATGCATTTCCAAAATTGCGTGAAAATTAAAACCATGATTTCATCTTAGCTTGTAACACTGACAGCCATTGTGTTTTTGTTGCTCATGGAGAGTCCAGTCAGAGTCTAGTGACTACAATAACATAAGAAAAAAGGAAGAATCTTGTTTCATATATTAATATCCCATAGATACCAAACTCACACAGAACACTGCTGACATGCTGTTTAAGATCACGAATAAGATAAGATTTTATTATGTTTATAGTGACATATTATTACAAGTTTAATTGACATAAGACACATTTTATTAATTTGGATCTTGTGTTATAATTAGTAACAGTGAAAGTAAAAACTGTCCACCACTTGCACTGAAAAGACAGAGTGCATTGTGCTGATATTATATCAGTATCATAATGCATGGTTCACATGAACATCAAAAGCATTTTTGTTTTTCCTTTATGTCATTCAAAAAGCTGTGTCTGCACATATTAACAGAAACCAAAATGAGCATATGTTGATTAGATTAGAATGGGGATTTGACTGAGAAACAGTAAAGTAAGAGCTTCCAGCTGCATGAACTCCTTACCAAGATACGATCACACAAATAGACACAGACTCTCTCATCACATACTAACATAAAGGTATCTTTTGTTCAATGTGGCACAGAAGAAAAAAACGGAAAGTATGTCAATAGGCCGGTGAAGAAGTGAGGTCACAGTGAGTGAGTGTGTAAGTAAAAGCAACTGAGTCCTTCGTTGTGTTTGTGTGTTTTAGTTTGAGTGTTGCTCTGTGTGAGAAGCTTGGAGTGTTACTTCTCTGAAAACATAAATAATCAGGAATGTGCAGCACTTTCATCATGTTGAATTTGCCATTCAGGCTTTAAGAGATCGATTTGCTTAAATAATTAAATATAATTGAGTTTCCTGGCAAACCCAAAGTTTTCGGTTTGGAAGCTAACAGAAAAGTTTTAAGGAAAAAAATGTTTTTAGTGCAATTGTGAAAACAAACTGATGAAAATGTTGCCATTTAATCTTTCGACTAACACTGTTTTTTCTGCAGTAATAAGATTTGCTTTCTGTTCAGGAGCTGAAATCACAACTCTTTTTACTCTACATTATGTTCTGAAATAGACTAGATTTGACTCAGAGTCAACTTCACTTATTTTCCAAAAGCAATGATCCTCCTCTCTACTATCAGGGCTCTGGAACTGCATTCCTCATCATGGCCTTGCAAAAGTTTCCATAACCCTTGAATTACAAGCAAACATTTCCATGTATTTTATTTGGATGTTATGTGATTTACAAAGACAAAGTGTTATAAAGCTAATATACTTGAAGGCCACTTATTTGCTGTGCACTCCACCAATTTGTTCTTATGGAAAAGTTGAAGCAAGAAAACCATCACTGCAGGAAAGTCTAAATAGGTTTTGATTGTAGATTGTCTAAAGTCAGGGGGTCCCAGCAATCATTTGGAAGATGGTGGTCTGGTCAGAAGAGACCAACACTGAATCAACTTTAAACCCAGTTTTGTAGTAAAGTATTTTTAATAATGTCTACATGTGCAAAACTTGTATAAAGATACCTGAAAAAAAAATCTGCTCCGACAAATGCAAGAAAATGTTAATGTAACAAGTAGACAGAGAGCAGCTGAGTACTTGCTTCACTCTCATATTTTGATAAATAATGAAAAATCAATAAACTTCCAAATAAAATACCCTGAAGGTTGTAGATGTAAAGTTACAAATGCAAAAAGTATGAGGTTGGGGGACTTTTGAAAGGGAATATTCATGCTTTAGCAGTGTTGGATTGTTGTAGAGTGTCCAAACTAAACAGTCAATATCTGTTTGAAACCATGTTTTAACCTTAAACTGTTGTTCTTGAGGCCGAAGACTTTCTGACTGCTAAAACCGAGTCCTTTTTTATTGCAGCAGTCTTCTTTCATGAGCCGATTGAGGAAAGACTTGAAAAGTGAGTGAGGCCCCGGTGAAGACATCCAGTGCTGACTACTAAAACTGATTCTGAGGATGACAGCTGAAGCAGAGGGCCGAGATATGAGTGTTATAGCTCTTCAGCAGGCTGAGCTAAAATTAGTCAATGCATATCTTTGACTTTTAGAGCGGACTTTGAAAGGAGGTGGTGATCCTCCATATATATTTATGGTGAGACAGAAATTTTCATTTTGTATTTTTTATTGAACGAAATATTGGCGAGATTGCTTTCTCCAAACAGAAAGTAATTTGTTTTAATTTGTTATGCGCTTTAACAATCTTAAGAGCTAATAAGTTTGCCTAGTTCACCAAAGGTTTAGCAATTCTTTTAATAATAAATGAATGAAATGGACCAAAGTTGCACCATTTAAATTACGTCTAGCAATAAAGGTTTTAGCTGGTATGGTGTACACAATTTTATTTTTTTTTTAAACAAAAATTCTGCTGCTTCATACTTCTGATCTCCTAAATAATTTTCCTTTTAGCTTACTCTTAACTTTCACTTTTTTGTGAAATAGACTGCCTTCAGTGTGTTGGGGACAGTCTATCACACCAAGCCCTGTGTCAGATTTTCATATGATGTATTGTATTAATGTTGCTGTTCAAGCACATTATAACTGTTTGTTAGTGCTTATTTTGACAAACGATTAAGGTATTAGGTCCTTCTTTCTTGCACAGTGCTCAAATTCTTTATTCAATAAAGCCTCTTTGATTTTCTTTGAAATGGTAAAGGGCCTGTACTTATATAGTACATTACATTACATTCAGCTATTCACCCATTCACACACACAGTGGCAAGCCATCATTGTAGCCACTGCTGTCCTGGGGCTAACAGACAGAAGCGAGGCTGCCGTACCGGGCCCCAGTCCCTCCAACCACCATCAGCAAGCAATGGGGTTGAAGTGTCTTACCCAAGGACACAACGACACTGAACCGACAACCCTCTGGTTGCAGGGTAAACTCCTTCAGCCGACACCACTGTCACCCCAAAACTTTGATCAACACTGATCAGTTCATCTCAAACATTATCTCAAGGCTTTATTCACTTAAATGCAATGTAATATTTATGCATTTATTTTCATCCAATTTCCTTAAAAAAATACAATAAATCAATATAAAAGCAAACTTCATCAAGTGCAGTAAGACTTTTTTTTTTTTTTTGCAAAAACATCTCCATCCTGAGAAAGTGAGGTTTGACTGTGGAGCAGGAAAAACCTATGAGTGACATGACTGTGGCAGAACAGGCGCAGATAAGCAACATTCCACTTAACTTCAGTTCATCATTTAACAGACATGACAACTTTAAGACAAAACAATAATATGGCTTAAGAAGCAGCATTACACCCAAATAATGATTACTGCAGAGCGGAAAGAGTAAATAAAGCCAAATAAGGAAAAGTGGTTTTAAATCTAAGGTTGCCCAACACATCTAATCTTTACAAAAAACAGTTCCATGTTTAATCCTAAAAATAGGTTGTATGCCTTCCACATAAAACCCGGGGGATTCTCTACAGTGGAGGAGCTTGAAAATCTAAAGGTCAGCCTCCCATTTTAGAAATTTAAAATCAGACATATAAAGTCTTTAAAATCAGACTTTGGTTAAAATATTTCAGGCTTTACATGTCTGAATGAGAAAATGTCCTTAACCTTTAATTCTCACTGAAGAATTTTGAATCATTTGAAGCCTTTTTAAAGTTGTTTCAAGACATCCTGATTGTAAAAATCAAAATAGCCCTCCCTGGAGGGGAACAATGTGTTGACTTGTTGTTGGCAACTTTCCCCAAATAAGACTGAGGTGAGCAGGAAAGATTGAAAATGAATCCTCTCCTCCGGACCCAAACCTTTGCAGATGGTCTCATCTGGCAAGAGACTGAGGACCAAAACCTCTCATCACAAAATACGCTCTTTCCTGTCTGCAGTTACACATTTACTGCTTGCCAATAAAGCTTTATGTGACTCTGACTTAAGTAGAAGATGGTGGTACTAGACATGTTCTCAGTGTTGCTACATACAGTATGTAGATCACTAGGACTATTTGGGTTGGCATTATTCATAAAATGCAAAAATTATCCAAGAAGTGAACATAATGAAACAGCCTACTGTGAACTATAATGAAAAAAACATCAGAATTCCACCATGAAATTAACTAATAAATGGAAACAAATCATACATTCAGTATTTGCACAATTGTTACTTTTCGGTTACAGTCCTGATTTAAAGTAGCCAAGATCCAGCTAAAGCCCGGGAGTCCCTGTCAGATCATACATAAAAGCTCTGATGGGTGGCTGACTCATGGCCGCGCTCCTCCTGTGTCTCACGAGGTACTGGACCTCTATGTTGCTTCACATTCTTCCCTGTAAAACATTTCAATTTGGCCCGGTGGATCTTCAGGCCATGTTGGTTCTTTGCCATATGAAGAGTCTGCAATCTTTACCATTTTTTCAGTTATCCTAAGACTTAGAGACTTAAACAGACTTTATTATCATTTTGTACACAGTATATACAAAAAGAAATATCGCTCACTACAGTTGTAATAATATGTAAACATGGTGATCAAATGTAAAGCTAAGACTGGTAAATGATTTACAGTTTGCAATATTCAGTGCTTTTTTTTAACCTTATTTTATACAATACTCAGCAGTCTAATGGCACTTGGGAAGCAGCTGTTCTGGAATCTGCTGGACCTGCATCAGAATCGAAGCCTCTTCCCAGAAGGCAGTAGTAAGCAGTCCATGGTGGGGGTGTTAGGAGTCATTTATAATGTTACCTGGATTGCTGTTTTTTTTATATCTTTAAAGGTTGTCTCATGTAGTGCAGAGAACCCCATCACCATGTTCTCACTCCACTATCACTCCTCAAAATGTGTTTAATTTTGCTGCTCCACACTAAAAACAAGATCGCACCTTTCCTAAAGGTCTCCCTATTTTTTCAAGAGATCCCACCGAAACGTGCACTTATCAAAACTCACCCACTGGTCCACACCCCTCATTCCTGAAACAGTTTTCCTGCAAGCAAAGTGGATGGTGGTGGTTTTCATCAAAGCACTCAACAATTTTTATTGCTGCCTTTTTATGCAGCACATTGTAAATTACTCCACTATTATATCACCTGCAGGGTACATCTGACATCTGCTAAATACCACCTGTAAAGTCCTGATCAAGCTTTGGCAAACAGCATAAGTTGGTATTTTTTGTACTCTATTCAAGGTGTAAGGTTTGCTTGAGGTTTTCCCTTTAGATTCATGTAGCATGACTACATTTGTACTGTAACCAATGAGTCTCCAATTTTATTTGATTAATGTTTTGGGATTAATGCCTGTCAGTTTGAGTGTTGTTCTGATGTTTGCTCTTGAAGAGGTGAACTTGAGGCAGCAACAGAAGTAACAGCAAACCACATGCATCAATGGCTGTTGAGATGAAAGAAATGCCAAAGCTTATTTTGGCCCGGGTGTGTACCTTGAATAAAGGTAATTATCTACCACCCTCAACCCATAGCGTGACAAAGTGTTTCGATTTAACCTGCAGGAATGGCATAACAAGCAATGTGTTTTCTCATCATATCTCCACATTTTTGCAGTTCTATATATAGATAAAAGGCATCATAAAGATGATTAATTGAATATGTTTCATTAGGAACAAATTAGGGAATATTTGTTAGATTGGAAGAATTCTTTGGTAAGATGCCAGTAAATCATTCACTTTTTACAGTATTTCATCAGCGGTTTCAGCCAGACTCTAACTTTTTGATTTTTAGGTGTTTTTTTTAATCAACTCTAATTAAACTGTCAGATTTCAACCTATGTTGCCCTGGAAGAACTGTTTTGCTAGCCTGTAGGCAGGGTGTTACATCATGAGAACTACCACAATACTTCAGGTGCACTATTTATTCATATGAATTGAAAATTGTAATAATGTAATGTTATTGATGGACCTTTTGGTACTCATCAAGTATACAGGTGCTGGTCATAAAATTAGAATATCATGAAAAAGTAGATTGATTTCAGTAATTCCATTTAAAAAGTGAAACTTGTATATTATATTCATACATTACATACAAACTCATATATTTCAGATGTTTATTTTGTTTAATTTTGATGATTACAAATGACAACAAATGAAAATCTCAAATTCATCATATCAGAAAATTAGAATATTGTGAAAAGGTTCAAAATTGATGGCCCCTGGTGCCACACTCTAATCAGCTAATTAACTCAAACCACCTGCAAAAGCCTTTAAATGGTCTTTCAGTCTAGTTCTATAGGCTACACAATCATGGGGAAGACTGCTGACTTGACAGTTGTCCAAAAGACGACCATCGACACCTTGCACAAGGAGGGCAAGACACAAAAGGTCATCGCTAAAGAGGCTGGCTGTTCACAGAGCTCAGTGTCCAAGCACATTAATAGAGAGGCGAAGGGAAGGAAAAGATGTGGTCGAAAAAAGTGTACAAGCAAGAGAGATAACCGCACCCTGGAGAGGATTGTGAAACAAAACCCATTCAAAAATGTGGGGGAGATTCACAAAGAGTGGACTGCAGCTGGAGTGAGTGCTTCAAGAACCACCACACACAGACGTATGAAAGACATGGGTTTCTGCTGTCGCATTCCTTGTGTCAAGCCACTCTTGAACCACAGACAGCGTCAGAAGCGTCTTGCCTGGGCTAAAGAGAAACAGGACTGGACTGCTGGTGAGTGGTCCAAAGTCATGTTCTCTGATGAAAGTAAATTTTGCATTTCCTTTGGAAATCAAGGTCCCAGAGTCTGGAGGAAAAGAAGAGAGGCACTTCATCCACGTTGCTTGAAGTCCAGTGTAAAGTTTCCACAGTCAGTGATGGTTTGGGGTGCCATGTCATCTGCTGGTGTTGGTCCATTGTGTTTTCTGAGGTCCAGGGTCAACGCAGCCACATACCAGGAAGTTTTAGAGCACTTCATGCTTCCTGCAGCTGACCAACTTTTTGGAGATGCAGATTTCATTTTCCAACAGGACTTGGCACCTGCACACAGTGCCAAAGCTACCAGTACCTGGTTGAAGGACCATGGTATCCCTGTTCTTAATTGGCCAGCAAACTCTCCTGACCTTAACCCCATAGAAAATCTATGGGGTATTGTGAAGAAGAAGA